TTGGACCCAATTAAAACTATTGTAAAAACTTAGGAATGGATATCAAAATTAAGTTTAGAAAAAAATATTGTGTAATTTAAATTGTACAACTTTAATTATTAAGTGAGGGCAGACCTTTGATATAGGAGATTTCCTCTTCTATTTAATAGTTCTTATTTTCCAGTTTAATAAACAATATAACAAAAAACTCTTAACTTTAATATAAAATTAAAGAGTAGTAACAAAAGTAAGATAGTGAAATTCAATTGCAATCTTCTTTTAATAAAAATAATATATTTAACTTTGAATCACATGCATGTACACAATCAGGTAGAGGCAAAAAGTTATGTTTAGTATCTTACCTTATAAAATTTGTTATTTTTAACTTCTTATCTTATACATTGAAACTTTTAGTTCTTAAATATAAAAATTTAAAAATTTTACTCCCTAAATTAATTGAAGTCATGAATTATTTGTAAGTGAAATTAAAAAATTATAAGATCAATCCCCAATGTTTAGACAAGTGACAATCTAATCTAAACAAATTTAAAAATAAATTGGTAAATCAAAAGTTTTTGAAACTAAATTTAGCAAATCAAAAGTTTTGGAAACTAAATTATTATTTTTCTAAACTTTGGGGAGGTATAGATGGGAAGGTTGCGTTCCAAAAGTTTTGGGCCTGGTTGGTTGGGAAAGAATCCCGGGATTGTGCCTAGATTGTTGCAAGTTGGATTATGTTGATTGTATTTGGTATTAAAATAGTCGCAGACAATTATTTTACCCTTGAGATTCTATTTATCTTTATCTCAAAAACACTTTTTGGATGAAAAATTTCGAAAAAAAAATTACCTAGTAAGTATTTGGATGAGGGGCAATAAATTGCCAAGATTATCCTTTGAATCCTTTGTATAAAGGACTTGAAATGACAAAAATGGTGCTGCAACAATCTTGAGAAAGTTTGATAATTGATTAAATTTTTTGTTATAATGGCTTATTCCGTTATTGACAGTGCCGGAGCCAGGAATTGTTGTTATGGGGGGCTTTTTTTTTTTTTTTTTTTGAATAAAGAAAGTTTATGATAAGAAAAAGTCACAGAGTCTAATATCAAGTTAATTATATATTATAATGGAGACTTCAATATTTAAATTGAATATTTATAATTTAAAGATTATTAAATCTAAAAATAAATCATAGATGAATTAGAATCTCGTCAATTAAGCAACTTATGAGTACTAAAAGCAAAAATTTTAAGTCACTACTTAACATATTACATTTCATAAGGTTTTTTTAGAGTATAAATTAATATATAATATTTAATATGTCTAAAAGATTTCTATATTTAAATTAAATTAATTAAGCTTGAACAAAGATTAAATATGTAAAAATAATACTTCAAACTATTATCAAAGAAATAATTGTTGAAAATAAATAAGATAATAATGTAAACATCATAATTTTATTTATCTTCATTTTTTTCTCATCTTTTATAGCATCCCCATTTTCTAATCTTCCTAATTGTCACCTAAAGTACGCAAATTAATCATGACCTAGAGTTCCCAATAGATCAATAAACAAAAAAATGAAAAAAAAAAAAAAAAGGGAGGGGGGGAATTATTAATTTTTAAGGATAAAAATGATTAAAAATGGATCAAATTTACTTTAATTACAAACTTGAAAGTCCACAAACTAATTTCTTTCTCCAAAGCCAGGGGGGCCACCGCCCCCCCTGGTCATAACGTGGCTCCGCCATAGGTTATTGATAATTAACTATTTAATATTTATGTTCACCTATGATAACCCATTACAAATAAGAAAAAAAACTTAATTTTCAATTATAATTGGTTATAATTAGAAGATAACCAATTACACACCAAATGTATCAAATGAATATTATAAATAATTATAATTCACAATTATTAAGTAATTGATTATTAAATATTATAGTCAATTATATCTCTTTTATTATGTAATTATATAACTGATTATTAAGTAATTGATTATTAAATATTATAGTCAATTATATCTCTTTTATTATGTAATTATATAACTGATTATATAATAATTTTTATTTTAAATATTTTATAATTTTTTTCATAACCAAACACAAAATTTTAAAAATAAAAACATATTTTATAAGCCGTGAAACATAAAAACGTTACTTTCTTATATATAAATTTCCTATCACTATTGATTTATTAATCAAAATGGAAAGAATTCGATTTCTCTTAAATAAGATATCAAGTTTAAATCTTATGAATAAAAAAATAGATGTTGAGAGAGCTTCTCTTCATATAGAGTCTAATATAACTTAATTCT